AAGAAAGAAATCCCATGAAAGCTTTGACCATGAAATAGTTTTCACAGCCTCTCTGACTGACAGAAAATGTTAGGAATGAGATGCTTCTCCTGAAAAATCATGTTTTTAATTTTAAGTATGTGCAAGAAAACCCAGAAGAGCTTCTGCATTTGCCAGAATATTACATCCACATGAGCAGAGCACAGCGTATGAACACTGGTCTGAGCTGAATTCAAAAGTCAAGCTGAAAATTACATCTCAAATCGCGTCCTGAACCCTCAAGTTCCTTGTGATTTTAATTAAATTAACTACATATTACATGGAACTGCTGTGTTTATGATGTTTCATAATGATTTAAATATGACTTGAATAACACATGCACATATACACTCACTGGCCACTTTATTGAGTACACCTTATTAGTTCTGTACCAGGTTGGACCTCCTTTTGCCTTCAGAACTGGCCTGGAATATATTCAACAAGCTACTGGAAATATTCCTCAGAGGTTTTGCTCCATATTGACATGATAGCATCACACAGTTGCTGCAGATTTGTCGGCTGAACATCCATGATGCCAATCTCCCGCTCCACCACATCCCAAAGCTGCTCTATTGGATTGAGATCTGCTGACTGTGGAGGTCATTTGAGCACAGTGAACTCATCGTCATGTTCAAGAAACTAGATGATTGGCGCTTTATGACATGGTGCGTTATTCTGCTGGAAGTAGCCATCAGAAGATGGAGACTGTGGTCATAAAGGGATGGACATGGTCAGCAGCAATACTCAGGTAGGCTGTGGTGTTGACACCATGCTCAATTGGTACTAATGGACCCACAAAAAATCTCCCCCACACCATTACACCACCACCACCAGCCTAAACAGTTAATACAAGGCTGAATGGATCCAATTCTGAGCCGAGCATCCGAATGTGTCAGCAGAAATGGAGACTCATCAGAGCAGCAACGTTTCTCCAATCTTCTATTGTCCAGTTTTGGTGAGTCTGTGTGAATTGTAGCCTCAGTTTCCTGTTCTTAGCTGACAGGAGCGGCACCCGGTGTGCTCTTCTGCTGCTGTAGCCCATCCGCCTCAAGGTTGGACGTGTTGTGTGTTCAGAGATGCTCTTCTGCAGAGCTCGGTTGTAACGAGTGCTTATTTGAGTTACTGTTGCCTTTCTATCAGCTGGAACTAGTCTGGCCATTCTCCTCTGACCTCTGGCATCAGCAAGGCATTTGCGCCCACAGAACTGCCGCTCACTGGATATTTCCTCTTTGTCTTTCTCTGTAAACCCTAGAGATGGTTGTGCGTGAAAATCACAGTAGATCAGCAGTTTCTGAAATACTCAGAGCCGCCCGTCTGGCAGCAACAACCAAGCCACGTTTAAAGTTACTTAAATCCCCTTTCTTCCCCATTCTGATGCTCACTTTGAACTGCAGCAGATCATCTTGACCATCTACATGCCTGAATGCATTGAGCTGCAAAATTAGAAATTTTGCGTGAACGAGCAGTTGGACAGGCGTACCTAATAAAGAGGCAGATGAGTGGTATGATAAATAAAATGTTCTAAATAAAGTGCATTTAAATTGCACTTTAAGATGAATAACAGTATCACACTATTATGTTTTACAACGTGTTGAAAAAAATCTCTCTGTTAAACAACACTTGAGAAAATCTTGAAATAAATGTTTTATTTTTGCAGGAGGCCTGATCATTTTGTCTTATACGATTAAGTGAAATATTAAATATAATTTAAGAATAGTTTACTTTAAAATAATAATAATAAAAAAACACATGTAAAATACACAAATACAAAATCATAAAAAAGCACATTTCAAAAATAACAAATAGATCAGATCTGAGGAGACTGAAGGACGTAATAAATGTGAAATCAGAGGAAATATTGGGAAGATCAGACGAGTCGCATCATATTACTCCGTCTGGCTTTCTCAGACTGACACATTTAATTCAACAGTTTTGACATTTTGTCCTAGAAACTGCATTTAAAGGCTCTGAAATGGCATCCCGGTGTGCCGTCGGCACAACATATATGGTGGCGTTGACGGAGCGATGGTGACAGATGGAAACAGTCAGAGATCAGGTCATGATGCTAATAATACCAGACAGATCAGAAATGATATTTTTGCCCAAATCTGCTGATTAATAGCATCATCTGCTGTAGTGCTGCAGGGAAACACACTGACTGCAGGAGAAACAATTACAGTCAGGAACCAAATCAAATGTTTCTCCACACTGAATAGACTAAACCAAAAAACAGGTTTATTTTCCAAGAGTTTCCAAAAACCAAATCATTTTATTCCTCTATTTTCCTTCCTTCTTTCTGTCCATCCTTTCTTCCTTACTTGGTTCTTTCTTTCCTTCTTTCTATTTCCTTCCATCCTTTCCTCCCTTCCTTCCTTCCTTCCTTCCTTCCTTTCGTTCGTTCTTTCTTTCTCTTCCTTCCTTTCTTTCTTCCTTCCTTTCGCTCCTTTAGCTTTCTTTCTTTCTTTCTTTCTTTCTTTCTTTC